CTGAACCACGTGGCTGCCTGAGGACAGCTAGCGGCTGCTCAGCTCAAGGTGCTGTGTTCAATCTTAGTTGCTGGGGGGAGCGGGCACAGCCCACCTTCCCGTATGGGTGCTGAACTGGCACCCTTGTTAAGAATATGCGCTATCACCAACTCAGCGGCAGCCCAGCTCAGGCACAGCTCACTGGCCCATGTGGGAATCAAACCGGCGACTCTGTTGCTCAGAGCTCATGCTCTTAACCAACTGAGCCACTCGGCTGGGCGAAGCCTGATATTTTAAGAGGATGTGACTGAACACATGTAAAGGTGTTTAATCTCATAAGTGATTGATACCCCAGTGAATACCATTTACATCCAATAGATTAAAAACTAAAAAAATATGACAATACCAATGAAGAAGATGCATCAAGAAGACATCTATAGGTGGGGTTGAAAACTGATACACTGGAAAGCAATTTGGCATTTTAAGGTTCTAATACCTAACAATTCTATCCCGCAACCCTGTTGCTCAGAGCTCGCACTCTTGAGTGAGCTCTTAATCAACTGAGCCACTTGGCTGGCCCTGCCCTAGGGAAATTCTTGCATATGAGCACAAGAGTACACATGCGAGAATGTTCAATGCAGCCCTGTCTGTAACCACTCAAATGTCCATTGAAAAGAGAATAAAAAAATAAATTGTGGATTTTGTAATCTTATTTAGCAGGAGAATTACTGAGAAAGTGATAATTAAGTTTCAGGAGCCTACATGCAGTATGATAGTTTTTATAAAGCTTAGAAACAAGCTAATCTAAATGATGTTAAATAATGTGTATAGGAATATATATATTTGTAATAAACTTTAAAAAAGAAATTCAGTATTGTGTTTACCATTTCAGGGTGGGAATCATGGTAGAATAGGAAGACAAGAAGGAACAAATGAATAGAGTGAAACATATTGATGATGTGTTAGTTTTTGAGTTGAGAGGTGTTTCTTGATATTAATTCTATGTAATGGCATTAACATACTTATTATTTTGGTTGTCTATTACTAAAAAACCACCCCCAAACATAACTGGCTTGAAACAACACCATTTCTTTTTTTTTTTTTCACAATTCTGAGTTGATAGGGATCATTTGAGTGGTTCTGTTCAACATGTTTGCTAGAGCTACGATTTTTTAGGAGCTTGAAACATCCAAGATAGTTTTTTTCACGTGGTCGGCCATTGATGCTGGCTGTGCACTAGGAACTCAGTCGACTCCTCAATTCTCTATGTGGCCACTCCACATGGCTTGGGGTTCTCCCTATCATGATGTCTGGGGGCCAGGAAGTAGCGTTCCAATGGTGAGCATTCCAAGAAGAGAAACAGAAACTGAATCCTCTGGTTTGGAAGTCTCAGAACATCATCCCCACTACACTGCATTAGAATACTCTACAGAACCAGTCTGGATTAAAGGGGAAGGGGAAAAAGAACATTTACCTCTCCAGGGCATTCAGATTAAAGAAGAAAAGGGCTTGATGACAACCATTTTAGGAGATTAGTTGATGTACCCCCTGGCCATAACAATTTATGTTTCTGACTTGGGAAATGCATTCACTACCTCCAGGAACACCTTAAAAAATTTCATCTCGATATAACATCAAATTCAGCCTCAAGGCCCATAATCTCATCATCTAAATCAGTTTCAGGTACATGTGAGCCACCTTTACTCTAGTTCCTCTCAATCTGAAGATACATGAACTAAGTTTTCTTCTCCATACTCATCTACCATACAATGGTAAGAGGCAATAGACACTCATTCAAAAAAAGGGAAAATGAGAGACACAAAGCAGTTGTCCATAGCAATTCTGAACTCCAGTTGGGCACATGTCTAATTCATCGTGATTCTAGGAGCAGGGAATATATGCATTTAGGGCCTAATTCTTCTCCCTGAGTGGTTCTAAACGCTTGGCTCTTCCCTACAAGATTTTCACCCTCTGAGTCGTCCTTTTCCATGGCTTATGTTTGAAGCTGAGTAGCTTTCCAAACTGCTTTCAAATTTTTGAAGGTTGAAGCCCCAGAAGCCTCTTTTTATTTTGAACTGCCACTGCCTTTTAGACTAAATTTATGGAATTCCTTTAAAAATACTGTGTATTCCCTATAACACAAATTATAATCCCCCCATTAGACAAAAGGCACACCCACAAATCCGTTCAAGACAGGCCTCTCTCTCTACTTTGAGCTGAGAGGGTGCTTCAGGACAATACCCTTAAAGATCTTAGATACCCATTGTCTAGCTAAGTAGACTACAATTCATGCTCATGCTCATAAGATTCTTAGAAGTCTGGCCAGCTAAGAGGCCTTTGAGGCACTGGTTTAAATATTGCTGAAGTCTTAAAGGTTATTACAGCTATACCCTGATCCTAACCTACCCTGGTACTATGTATGTTTCACTAGTAATTCCCTGGATTAGATCTTTGC